ACGAAGCCGCCGACCTACAGATTCGAGGTGGCGGAGCGCGACATCAACGGGGTGAAGGTCGAGCGGGGCGGGTGCACTAAACGGCTGCACCAGGGCAGGGCAGGATGCAGCTCTTCCGTCCATCTTCCTCGTGTCCCGTCCCTCGCCGCCCAGTTCCCCCGCTTTCCCACCGTGGACCACCTGTATTCAGCTTGCAAGCTTGCGCTTTCGTGATTGATGGCGGATAATCGGTCGTACAGTATTCACGCTGGCTGCGGTGCTCCTGCCAGACAGTTCAACCTGGCTCTACACGACCTCGAGGACCGTTGGCATCATGCCTACCCTGTGCCACTTCTCTCCATGCCACATATCTGGAGCTTTTCGATTGACTAGGGCCGAGGGTCAGAGAACGCCTTCCTCTTCGGGACCACCGAAAAGAGACGTTAGGGTGGTCAAACGCCTCGCTGGTTAAGCCGACGAAGATGTGCAACATCCAACCATTCGCTTCTTTCTAAAATTTTGGCTTGACGCCGGGTGTGGTGCATCAATTTCAGCTTGACCGAACAGGTCGGTTGCGCCCCTTGACGTCCGTTTGGGGTGTTCTGCAGACCTGCCCCCCCCAGCCGTACTCAACTTTTTAGATATCCTGCAGCTGCGCAGACAGTTGCGTAACTGAGCAGAGACAGTGCAACCACGTTCAACACTGATAGCGAGAGGACGGACTTCCAGACCCCATGTCAGCCTTACCTGAGTCATATCCTTGAGTTTTGTTGCTTTTCCCTCTTCTTCGTATCCTACCTCTCCATCGTGCGCCCTCGTGCCCCCTTCGCTAAATTTTTCCTCTCGGATTCTTTCCTTCACCTCTTGCCTGGTCTCCCCCTTCCACCCCGCTGGCATTCCAGTGTCTCTCTTCGTCTTCGGCTGAGGGTGGGTTTGATCTTGTGTTGTAAATACAACGAGGTACCAGTGGCGCCAATGACCCAGGCCAATACCAACTTCGTGCTCAGCCAGACCGTCGGCAAGATTCCGATGAAGGATCCCGCCCCCCGGGATGTGTGTGTGTGTGTGGGGGGGTTCAGAGAAGGCTATGCAGGTGCGAAGTGGTCCAGCTGCGCGACGTGGCATGTTTGTGTATGCAGCGTCTGCTGAACGTAGGTTGAAGCGTGCAGGGCGTGTCTGCGCAGTGTACGACGACCGCTGCTGGAAGCAGGGAGTCAGAGGAATGCGACGAGAAGGTTACCGACAAGGGTCATACGATGACCCGCTTCTGACTCGGCAAGCCTCTGCTTCTGATGGCCACGCACCGCCTCAGAAGCGGGGGGAGAGCTTCCCGAGATGGCTCCGCACTTCGCCAGGGTCCCCGACCCCAGACTTCCGATCTTTTGTTTTTGCAGGCAGAAGCGTGGGCACCTGGCAGTCTGGATCCCTGCCCAGGGGCTGCTTTGTTATATCCAGAGTCATTTTCTATCGGTCTTGGGCGGGGCAGAGGCCCCCAGTGGCCGCAAACGGCACAACATCTTCCTTCGTTTTTTTTCGCAGCGCGAGATGGTGTGTGGGTCTGGGGGTGAGCTGTCGACGCCGAGACGTGTCCTGCCTTCCATTGTTATTTGTTTTGCTTTCCTTGCTTGTGTTCGTAAACCAGCGTGCGTGCGGACTGGCTCTGACGCGTTGCGGCGTAAAACAGTTTGTGTCGAAAATGATCCAGAAACATTACAAAGCATAGCACCGCCTGTAATCTAGCTTCTTCCTCCCCTCCCCCCCCGCAGAGGCAACACAAGTCACGAAAACCGTGCACACGCTTCGATCCTCGAACCTCCTCGTCGCCTCGTGCTCCATCTGCTAGGTAGCAACCCATGGGACCCTTGCATGTTATCGAGATTCAGTCTTTGGAGTGCATTCGATAGTGCTGATGTTCGGTAATCGATGAGGAAGCGCCGATTTAGCGTCGACTTAGCGTCGATCAGCGTCGATTGGCGTCGGCCAGCGTAGGTTAACGACGAGTCGCAAGAACTAGCAAGACGACGCTAGAGGCTCCTGTGAGTGCCACAGAACTTCGGCTACTCCCAGGCCCCCCTAAGATCGATCCGACTCGATACCGACTCTGGCCGGTCCGATCTGATCCAGGCCCGATCTTCTGATGATGCGGTTCTGCCCGATGCGTGCACAGCGCTGTTGGTTCATTCTGGCGCAGCCGATCCGATGCGATTTCGACTCCGCGCCGATGCAGCCCGATCCGACGCACGGTTTCGATTCGGTCCGATGTTCCGATTCCGATTCGACTCTGACGGATCCTGCCCTGAGTGCGTCGATTCCTCGCGTATGGTTCGGGAGAGGAAAGACAGGCACAGACACGCGTAAGCGTCGATTGCCAGGAAGGTATGAGACAAGATGGGACATGGAGGGGAAGACGAGCATCCAGAAACTACGGAAACGCATGGGGAATCCTGGTTTGGTGCCTGTCTGTTTGTGTCTCCCCTGGGCCTTCTGGGGCGGTGCCGCCGCCACCGCCGCGGCGCGGCAGGACCTGCCCCTCTTCATCAAGAGCCAGCGCGAGGCCTCCTCCTCCTCCTTCTCCTCCTCCTCTTCCTCCTCCTCCTCCTCCTCCCTCTCCTCCTCCTCCTCCTCCTCCTCCTCCTCCTCCTCCTTCTCCTCTTCCTCCTCCTCCCTCTCCTCCTCCTGCTCCTCCTCCTCCTCCTGCTCCTCCTCCTCCTCCTCCTCCTCCTCCTCCTCCTCCTCCTCCCCTCCCCCTGTGCCTGCGCACCGCTCACCCTGTCGGCCCCGCCGTCGGCGCGCGCGCGCCCGCCCACGCCCATGCCGATGCGTCCCCCAGAATCCAGAATCCTCGGGGTGGAGTGCGGGGGAGGGCCACGGGTGTGTGCTGTCTGATAGTGGGGTCCCCGCTCGAATCGGGAGCTTTACCCCTCGGGGTGTCTGGCAACTGCTCGCGCCCAGACCTGAGGCCACCTCTCATCGCATTGCCCTTCTCCATTCTTCCTCCCTGTATCGGCGGCGAGCGAGGGGGGGGGGAAGTGAGGAGAGGCGGGCCTTCTCAGAAGGCTCGGACGTTCTCCGGCCTTCCGAGAAGTTTTCTGAGCCTTCCCAGAAGACACGAAAGCCTCTCAGAAGGCGCGAGGGCTTCTGAGAAGTCCCGCCGCCTTTTGCGAAGGCCTTCTCCTTCTCACTTCCTCCCCCTCGCTCGCCGCCAATCCCCAGTCGCCCATGCATCGCCGGTGGGGGCCTGACTCTCACACCGCCCAGGAACGTGCGGATTTGCCATCGGGCGCCCACCGCCGATCTATCGGCCAGGTATCGCCGATTTTGGCTCGATGTTTCTTTCCCTCTTCGCTCGCCGCCGACTATAGGTCTGGGTGTGTGCTGTTCTTTCGTCAGCTCACCCCGTCCGCCCCGCCGTCGGCACGCGCGCACGCCCCTCCCCCTCCGCCCAGCCCTTCTCCTCCTCCTCCTCCTCCTCCTCCTCCTCTTCCTCCTCATCCTATGTGCGCAGCTCCCCTCGTCCGATGACGCACGCGTAGCGCGATGGTTTTTTTGGCGGGCCTGCCATGTCGGCCCTGGCTCCGACGCGCGCCCGCGGAGGAAGAACACACACCATCGCAACAGGCAGGACTTCAGACGTGGCGCGAGCGCAGGGAGCTCTCCTCTCCCCCTCTCTCCTCTCCCTCTCTCCCCTCCTCTCCTCCTCTCTCTCTCTCTCTCCTCCTCCTCTCTTTCCTCCTCTCCCCCCCTCTCCCCTCCCTCCTCCTCTCTCTTCTAAGTGCCTGACGCTTCGCGCCCGTCCGCGGCAGCCCCCGCCGGCAGTCGTGCTGCCCAGGCGGCCGTGCTCCTTCCGCTCTTCGGCCACTGCACCTCTGGCGGGCAAAGCCACTGCACCTCCTCCGCGAGAGGAGGGGCCTCCTCCTCCTTCTCCTCCTCCTCCTCCTCCTGCTCCTCCTGCTCCTGCTGCTGCTGCTGCTCCTCCTCCTCCTCCGCCTCCTCCTCCTCCTGCGGGGGGCGGAGCCGGCGGCGTGGCTGCCCTTTGCAAAACGTTCTTGGTCAGCGGTTTGATTTGATGAAGCTGGGCAAGCATGCTCTGATCAACATCCCTCGTGCAAGGCACAAGCAAGCACTGCTTCGCGCGGAGGTCGATGCGCGCCAGTCGGGTGAACAATGCGCAGACATGCATTTCCAATATCTGAATCTCACGGGGAGTGGGTGGAGGCGTAAGGTACCCGCGGTCTCCGTTTCCAAGCTCAGGGTGTGCACGACGAGCGGCCGAAGTGGTTTAAGCTTGGGTGGGTGAATGTGAAAGTTGCCCATGGGCGCACTCAGGACGGGGTCCAGTATTTGAATTTTTACTTCAAGCATCTTGGGCATTCTGGGTTTTCAGTCGGAGGGTTCTTAGGAGAAGACGATCATACGGAGGCAGCGATGCCTTCGGATGCATGTGTTCGCCACCCTTCCCTGATTCAGATTTCGTCCCAGACGGGTCAAAGCGCGTCCGTCTTCTTTGTTGCAGAGGCAAGCACAACATTCGATTCAACAATCACTTCGACAGCTGCTCCACAGCGGCCACTGCGTCCGGCGGCTCCATCGGTTGGGTAGGCCGTCCCTACGGGGACTGCGGGACCAGCTGTCACACCAGACGCCAGTGCGCAGCGTTTGGCTCTTTGGCAGGACCGCGTAGCGACGGGGGCCCAGCTGTGTCTTCATTTGCAGTAGCAGGCCTCGCGTGAGTGCGCTTGATCACTTCGACAGCTGCTCCGCAGCGGCCACTGCGTCCGGCGGCCCCGTCGGTTGGGTAGGCCATCCCTACGGGGACTGCGGGGCTAGCTGTCACACCACTTCTAAGACGATAGAAAAGAAGGCTCCAAGATGCTTCCCGAGATAGCCCAAATTGCTCGACCTGCAAAATGTACAGTTTCAGCACATTCCATGTTTAGATCTTCGCAGCGCCCATAAGGCCCCCAAGATCGTCCCAAGACGGCCCAAGAGGCCCCCAAGAGAGCTCCAAGAGGCCCAAAGATCGTCCCAAGACGGCTCCAGAGGCCCAAGAAAGGCCCCCAAAGACCCCCAAACAGCCCCCAAGAGGCTTCAAAACTTGCTCCCAGAGGCGCCCGAGAGGCATGCCAAGAGACCCCATCAGGTATCCCAGAAGCCTCTGACCCGCAACAGAGGCACGGTGGCGGTCTTAGGCGAAGGCCAGTAGATCCGCCGCCCCCTGTTGGCTTACCATAGGGGTGCCTGGCGTGCTAGATTTCAGGAGGTTGTTGGTTATTTTAGAACTTCCACTGGGGCTTTGTCCGATGCGCTTGCCACCCAGAAAGCTTGCCCAGAGGTGATTGCAAACGGTCTTCCCGCTCCAGATGGCTCCAAGATGGCCCAAGATTTCAAGTTCGCCCAAGATGGTCCAAGATGGCCTCTACGACGGCCCAAGAGCGTCCAAGATGCCTCCAAGCTTGCCCAATAAGCATCCAAGACGGCCCAAGATGGCCTCAAGATTGACGGCAGGCGTTTTAAGACGCCCCCAAGAAGCCTCCAAGACGGCCCAAGAGGCCTGTAAGAGGTCCTCCAGGACGGCCCGAAGATGCAACACTCATCGATTTTCCGAAGGTGTTTGAAGGACTTTGGCCATTGTCTCTTTTCGGCCTTCGCACGGCCCGAGACGGCCTGAGAGGCCCCCGAGATCGCCTCGAGATGGCCCAAGAAGCCTCCAAGATGGCCCTGGAGCGGCCCAAGAGGCCCCCGACACGGCCCCAAGAGGACGCATCATGGCGAAGGCCACGCACACCCAGACACGCGAGGACGAGGAGCCGGCAGCGCACCCCCCCCCGAGGCGGTGGAGTCCAGGCAGCGCCGCGCGGAGGAGCGGCACGCCGCTGGGAAGGAGCGCGCCCCGCTCCCCCCTCCTGCTGCCGCAGGAGGAATTAATCGGCGTTGCCCCACCATACAAATACTCTATGTGCGTCGCCCCCCCAGGGGACACGCGCGCACCGAGAAATCTTACAGTATATGCGTCGTGGCGGGCGCTTTCTGGCTACGCCGCTCGGGAAACGACATACTACAAGATGGGTATACCACATGTGCGGGTCGGACGCGCGCCTCCAATGAGAACATGTAGTATTAGTATGTCTCCGTGCGTCCCAAGGGAGTGCGGGAGGTGCCGCGAGAGAGATGGGGTCCCGAGAGCAACGGGCCTTTGACCCCGGAGCATCCCCCGGCAGGGGCACGAACAATGACATGCACATAATAACTCGGAGGTCCGCGCGGATTTCTCGGATCGGCGCCGGGGCCCCTGGCGCCAGGGAGGGGGGTCCAGCGCGGATCCACGAAGTCCGCGCGGAACTCCGAGTTGTTATGCTTACGCCATGTTTCGCTCCCCTGCCCGGGGCCAGCTTGCCGTGCCGACCCGATTCGTGACGGCCCTTCGCGCCCAGGAAGGGCCCCCGGGGGGAGGCCCGACGCCGCCGCACGCTCTTTCAGGCCCCTTTCTCTTCGTGGCGCCGCAGGGTCGAGCCCAGACAGGTTGTGCGATCCCAGGGGGGGACGGGGAGGACGAGGAGGAGGAGGAGGAGGAGGAGGAGGAGGAGGAGGAGGAGGAGGAGGAGGAGGAGGAGGAGGAGGAGGAGGAGGACGAGAACGAGAACGAGAACGAGAACGAGAACGACGACGACACTGGCGAGACACCCTTCCCTCCCAGGCCACGGTGCTCTACACGAGTTTGTCTACTGCAGGTCTGCCTGCGTGGCGGTCCGGGTTCGCCTGGCGGCTGCCGGACTTGCATTCTGCTCACTGCCGAGGCGATATGTCTTGAGTGGATCGGCGCCGCCTGCGAACCCGCATTGCCGTCGGTCCGATGCGTTTGCGATCCCAGGGACCTGCCCTCCCAGATCTCGGATTTTGTTCGGTCGGACATCGAGCGCTACGCCGGAAAACGCCCGGGCGCTTCCAGGGCTCTGCAGGGGCCGTCCGTCCGGATCGGATCGGATGTCTGATATTTTTGGAGATGGCGCGGCCACGTCACGTCGACGCGGGTTCGCGCCACGTCGACGCGGCGACGACCCGTCGACGCAGCGACGACTTGTCGACGTCACGCGCCACGTCCCCCGAGGTACAGGTAGGTTCGCGCCACGTCGACGCGGCGACGACCCCGGTGCGGGCGTTCCAAGGCTGAACGCCGCCCGCGTCCCAGAGGGGCCTCAGGCTTGAGCTTCTGGTGGAAGGCTTCTTGTGGTCAGGCCTCCGACTGCAGGCGCGCGGGCCGTCCCTCCTCGCTCCGCCCCCCCCCCCACAGGGGGGCGGCGGGGCGGGGCCGGCGGCGGCGGGAGTTGTGCGAGCAAGAGGGCAGGATTCGCACGCGCGTCCTGTTGAACCCCTCGTCCACTTGCCCGTCCTCCATCGGGACCCCGCAAAGGGTGAGTGTGCCTCTGGAATTGTGTGTGTGTGAGAGAGAGTTCGGTCGGTTTTTGCACCGAGCCGCCCAAACCAGATGCCCCCCAGCCTCCGGCAGCTCCCAATAGTTGCCGGTAGGTGGGGCATGCGGGGGGCATCTGTCTGCGGCAGCTCGGTGCGCCAGCGGATCGAACTCATGCCCCCCCTCGGGGTCATGCCTCGTCTGGTTTGTGGAACGAACAATGACATAAACATACAAACTCGGAGGTCCGCGCGGATTTCTCCGATCGGCGCTGGACCCCCAACCCTGGCGCGCGGAGCGTGCCAGGGGCGGCGCCGGAGGCGCCGCCAGAGGGCCCCAGCGCCGATCCGAGAAATCCGCGCGGACCTCCGAGCTTTTATGTTTATAGTATTGTTCGTTCCCCTATTGGTGGATCCCGACTCCACTTGTGATCAGTTTCCCACCGCGCACTTCGGCGGTCCTCCTGGCCAGCGACTTCGCTTAGGTCGGGCATGTCCTTCTACAGGCGGATCTTGGGCGAAAAATAGCATGTAGTCAAAAGAGTCAACAATTGTAGAACAATAGTTTTTTTTTGGGGGCTTTTGAATATTCCTCCTGTAGAGTTACGATGTTCCAACCTGCTCTAGCCTTGATCACCAGGAAGAATTTCGAGCACCAAGGAAGGACCTAAACTCGAGGTTTTTCACGTGTCGGGCCCTGGGGAGCTCAAGCTCAAGGGAAGCTCAAGCTCACTTCAGGTTTTGGCTCAAGCTCAAGGGGAGCTCAAGGGGAGCTCAAGGGGAGCTGGGGAGCCTCAGACAGCAGCTGACACACTTTCAGTCCGCTAACTGTTGGGGCGCCAGTACGCACACACGTTGCTTGCTACCTCTGTCTCCCTCCGGCCTGCCGGAGTGTGGATATTCTCGGAAACATGTCTGGTGTAACGCCGGCTGAGCCAGCCAGCAAGGCCCGTCGTTTGGAGGGGGATGAGGAGATGGAGGACGTACATGACCCGTCGAACAAGGATACTTTTGACATGTTGGTCACGATCAAAAAGCAAGGGACCGACACCAGGAAGGAGATTCAGGACCTCAGGGGCAAGGTGGACGGCGTCGAGTCGAAGGCCGACGAGGCGTTAAAGATCGCCCAGGAGGCCAAGCAGATTGCATCGGCAGCAGCGGCGTCTACAAGAGCCGATTCTAGCACAGGCAGCACCAGCAAGGGCCCTGGGAGCGGCCCTGCCCCAGAATGGCTGCGCGAGCGGCCAGTCGACGAGCGGAAACTCATCATCGGTGGCTTCCCTGATTTCTCTGAGGAGGACGAGGTGCGGCCGGTGGTGGACCTGGTTCTCAAGGATAACCTCGCGAAAAGCGAGATCCAGACCACATGGGTAGCTATCCGGTACTAACGCCACGATCGTTTTCAAAAGCCTCGATAAGCTTTTCGATTGGCTCGGGGAATGGAAGAAGAAGGTCAAGGACTCGGGCAGCACGGACGGCACGGTGGTGGTTACGGTTCCGGCGCACGGGGGCCGGCCGGAGATCCAGCAGCGGATTTGGTGCAAGAGGCATCAGAAGAAGGAGGATCGACAGGCTTACGCGGCGGTCGCTCGTCTGAGGGATGCCCTGGAGCAGCTGGACCCCGCCTTAGAATACAAGGCAAAGAAGATGGGGGCGACGTGGCTCGTGGTGGCCGACAAGCAGGTGGTGTCCACGTTCGGGGACGACGACAAACCCAAGTTCGAAAAGAAGCTTGGGGACCTCTCCAAGTATGGGGACGACGATCTCCAGAAGAAGTATGACGAGGTGAAGGCTCTGCCGCGGCAGCTGGGCATATTTCGGAGGTAAAGTTCCCGACAGGCTGACAGGCTTCCATAAGAGAGGGGGCATCAGGGAGCTGAGACACATCAACATCCTGTCCTTGAATTGTACCAGGGTCGCAATCAGGGATATAGACTCTTTTGTGAAGCATGTGGAAGTGGCGTGGGACGCAATGATTTTGCAGGAATTCGGTTGCCAGGCGGACCCGTACATCGGAGTTTTAAAAGAGAGTGGCCATGTGCTAATCTGTTGTCCGCAGAGCGACGGTGTGCGAGATTGTGCATTTCTTGTGCATCGCTCTCATGCCATCCATCTCTCTGAACCTCAACCCGTTCAGTTTTCTTCTTCTCGTGTTGCGTACATGCACATTGTCATGGGGGGCCAGCGCTTCTTGCTCATCGCGGCTTATTTGCCGGTCCGGGGGTTTCTGTCCGAGTACGATTCGTATTGAAACGAGGTCTTCGCAGTTCTTGGGCACGAGACGCTCCGAGGCGAAATTCCGGTCATTGGCATAGATGCGAACGGTGTTTTGGGGGAGCCGCTCTTGGAGTCCGAGATTGGGATTCTCGGCGGTTTCTCTCACGGCACGCGGACAGACAGAGGCGCGAAACTTATGCAGAGGCTCCAGGAGGAGGGGTTGGTGGCCGTAAACACTTTCTTCAAGGAGTCTGGGGGGCCTACTTGTTATTCTTGGGATGGGGGTACTTCACAATCATTGATCGATTCCATATTTGTGAAAAGGGGAGCATTTTGGGCGCGTTGACACTTGTCGTAAAAGAGACACGCTTGCTACTTCCACAAACCATGTGATATTACAGTGCCGTATCAATACCAAACATACCAAAAAGTGGTACAGCAAACAACCAATAAACTGGACTACCTATCGCCCCAAATATTTCGTCTCAGAAGTTTGTCGCAACGTACATAAGGATATGAGTATACATGACATATCGCACACCATCGGTGACATTGGCGCTAAGTGGGGTCAGCCGCGGTCACGCCGCAAACAAGCGAAGATTGACCGGGCAGAATTACATCGATTGGAACACTCCTGGAGGATGGCGGCGCTCCCAGCGGAGAAAAAGGAGTATGCGAGGGCGGTGTGGCGAGAGAGGGCTCGTTCGCAGCGCGAGAAGCACGAAAGACAGGGCATTTCCATCCTCTGTAATCTTCGGTCCGGGGGCTGGGGAAAAAGCAAGCAAAGGAATGGTGCGTCTAGCCGCGCTCATCTCGTGGAGCCCGGCACGGAGACAGTTGTGGATGAGCCAGATCGAATCGAAACTCAGCTTCAACAGTATTGGAATAGACGCTTCCAGGAGGACCCACCAGCAGCAGAGCCGGAGTGGGTGCATCTTCCCGTTGGCAACGCGTGCGCCCTTTCGGCGGCGTCGTTGTTTCAGGCAGTGCTCACTAGTCCAACTGGGGCATCGCGTGCTCCGGGCGGTGTTGTGGGAGAGATGTTGCAGGAACTGGCAAAGTGCAACGTGGCCGTTCCGGATCGGTGTCCTCTTGCTGCTCCTCCCCGTCCGCGTGGACCCGGAACTTGCCCACAATGCCACCTACTTCAGTTCGACGGGGCTTCCAGGGCTGGCTGGGCATCAGGGGCAGGGGTGGTCGTGTACAACGCTCTTGGGGATGTATTAGTCGAAGCGCCAATTCGACTAAATGATGGTTGTGACAATTGTGACGCTGAGTGGCACGCTTTGATTTTTGGTTCGGAGGTTTGCAAACACTTATCGATCGATTTTCTTGCAATCGGGGGGGACAGCGATGCTGTGATTAAACAAACTTTGGGGAAATGGGGAGTATTCGACATTCGATCGGCGTACTACCGCAGCGTGGTTCTGGAGTTGGTGCCACGGTTCGGGTGCGTGCAGATGCAGCATGTCCCTCGTGTTTTAAATGCTGCAACAGACAGGCAGGCCAACGTCGTGTGCGACTTCCACAACATCGCTTCGGTCTCGCACGGTACGTTCGAGCACGCGTGTATCCGTTGTGTGTCAGGGGGTGGACCGATATCTATGCAGAACAACCCGTTGGAGCTAAAATTGGATGGCACTGTGTACGAGCACCCAATCGTTACAATAGCTGAAATTATACGTCGAGAAATTCAGGGGGATGCTCGTCCGTTTTGCGCACCTACGTCGTCGTGTTCTGGTTCCTCCTCTCCTTCTGGTTCCCCGCTTACGTCTTCAGCTAAACGGCGGGCGCTTTGTTGCGACATGCCGGCATGCGGTGTGCACAGGAGACCAGAATCGGTGGTTCTGTCGGCGTTGGCCCTTCTTCCCAAAAGTACGGTAGTCAGATGGTTCGATGCCCTCAGGCCTATCACAGTTTTGCCAGCGATCTATAAGTGTGCCGGAGGAGCGCTCTACGATCAAATTTCTTCATTGGTCCAGCCGAGTAATTGTTGCCAGTTCCCCTACCGCCCGGGCCACAGCGTCGTGGACCTTGCCGTGGTATTGGTTCTCCTCGGGCAGAGATGCTGGCAAGGAAAACTGGGTCTGGTCGTTGCCTCCACGGACATGCCCAAGGCTTTCGATCATGTGCGCCACACTTTGCTACTAGAGGTGTTGCTTCATCGAAATGTTCCGCCGGCTATGGCGGCGTGGTTCTATCGACATGTACGTTCCGTCCAACATCACATTCGTTTTCATGATATTGAAACCACAACGTCCCCGATCACATTGTCATTACCTCAGGGCAGCCGTTGGAGGCCAGGGTTTTTCAACATGATTATGGAGTGCATTTTACAAGCGGTGTGGGATCATTGTCAAGACATCAAATATGGGGTGGGGCTAAAATCGATGGGTCGATGTAGAGAACATGCTGAACAATGGTGCGAACAGTGCATAACATTATTCGGGGGCGGACAGAACCCCCAACAGTGACACGTCGATTAGTGAATTGTCCGTTTTCGGTTCTCGAGAGGGCGCCGTGGCCGTTATTTTCCAGGCTTGCGCCCGCCAGGTTTGGGCCTCAGGTCGTTTCCTCTAAACCACGTTTTACTAAAGGGGGGTCTGTCCATCCCCGAATTATACGTCCCTTTCATCATTTACTCTGATAACATATTCATACTCGCACACACAGTTCAACAGGCGAGCCGTATCCAGGGCATGCTGGAACAGGCACTCGGCGCACACGGTTTTCAGCTTCCCGCGGACAGAACGGTATGGATGTCACAGAACCCAGAGGACAACGCGGCGACCTGGCCGGGCACGAGTGCCTTGAAGTTCAAGCAGTACCTCCGGTGCGTCGGCATTCACGTCAATGCTTTTGGCAGGACAGATCATGACATGAATTGTAAGACTATTCAGTGGCTTCGTCGGTTGGCAGGGCGCACCACATCCTCCGGTCCAAAACCTCTACTTGTGCACAACGTTTTTCTTTGATCCACAAAATTGCGCCGAGTACGGCTCTCTGGGCTTCGCCGGTCTGGGTCACGAACCAGCGGTCTTTGCAGAAGCTCCGGGCGGCGGTAAGCAACCAGTGCAAGAAACATCTGAGGCTCCCCCGTTTTTTAGGCGAGACAGACGAGCATTTTTCCAAAAGGCAAAACCAGGCGATCCGAGCTATTAAGTCACAGCTGGCGCTCACGGACCTCGATGTTCTGGCCACTCGGCGTCTGCATTCGTACAGCGGGCACATCGCGCGCAGGAGTGCAACCGAACCGGGCTTGCTCCTTAGCGTCGTGCTTTTGTGGAACAGACAGAAAGTGGCACTTCTGAATGTCCAGCGGCCGAGCGATACGCAGGGCCACCCAGGCCAATTCGCGCCGTGGCACTGGGAAGGGCAACTAACTCGCCATTACCGTGGCTGGTTAGAGCAGGATTGGGTCCAGATCGCCCAGAAGAGACGCCAGTGGAGAGACAGCATGCCAGCTTTCATCCAGGAGCGTCCAGGTGTGTTATGTCGCAACGCAACTTTTTAACGCTAGTTCCAAACAGGCACGTAGACTGGTGGAGTTCGTCTCTTTTATACCAGGTAACAAACAACAATCAACAAACCTGGGAGACACTTGTTCGACACTGTTTCGACACTGTTCCGACACTTTTTCCGGGTGCTCGAAATGATTCTTGGGATGTGGTCCTGAAGTGCGATGGGGGGCAACATAATTGTATAGGGACGCGTCCGACTTACGGACTTCGCGCGCGGCGGCTCGTGGCGTGGCGCGGCGCTCGCGGGCGCGGCACGCCGTCGGGGCTCAGCGGCAGATCGCGCTCGGGCCGACTGCGCCTCGGGCCGCCGTGCCCGTCGCTGGCTGCGTGCAGCGCTGCGCTCCGTGCCCTCGGCTGCCAGTGTTAGGTCGGGCCTGTCCCTTTAAAGGAGGAGTTAAAAGAAATAGTCCAAACATAGTCTGGGGACGATGGGAGTCTTTTTGTGTGTGACTATATTTAGCTTTCGTCCCAAATCCGCCTGTCGGGGGACATGCCCGACCCAATGCCGGGCGACGAAGTCCATACATATCCACTGATCCTTGGCCAGGGAGCAGTGGATGTGTCTAGAGATCGTCGCCCTGCAGCGCGGGCGCGGGGCGCGGGCGGCGGCGGCGGCCGCGTGGCGGCTGCCGTGACGGCGGTTCGGCGGCGCGCTCCTCGTTCTCCTCTCGCCTCCGCCCCCCCCCCGAGAGCCCTCGACCCTGCTGACTGCCGCGCCCCGCCGCGACGCGCCCTGGCCCGGCGGTGCGCAGGGCGGGTGCGGCGGCAGGCGCGGGGCAATTGCGTACCAGCCTCGTCCCTCGTCGCCCGCACGCCCTCCCCCGCCTGCTGCCTCCAGCCACCCTCTGCTCAGGATCGGTTCACCGGCCCCTATCCCAATGTCCATCCCCATGTCCATCCCCATCCCACCACCCCAGTCGGGGATAGAGCCCTCGAAATCTGAAGGGAACGGCCTGTATCCACATCTGGGGGGTAAATCGGCCAGTGGGGCCTAGGCCACGCCCATGGGGAGAGTGGTCGGTTAAACGATGCTCATCTTCCCACCTCCGTCTGCGCCAGGAGGGCGACGACGCCTCCGAGGATGGAACCCGCCGTGCAGGGGCAACTCTTCGTCGGGTTCGAGCTGACCCACTGAACGTTGAGATCCTCTCGCCTCGTTTTTCTCTCGACCGGGCTCTGCATCATGGGTCTCTACCTCCTCTATGGAAGAGGGGCCAGTGGCAGCAAGGCTCTCGTGCGCGGCTTCCTTGGATGCATCCCTGTCGCGCCTCCGGGTCCCCCGCGCACATGTCGCCTTGTTTTGCACCGATTTGCTTCGATGTGCATTGCTCTGCTCTGCATTGCATTCAGTCTTCGTTACACTGCGCTTCACGATATTCTGTTCCGCTGGTGGTACACCACATTGCACGGCATGATATTGCAAAGCAGTTGCGATGCAAATCCATGTAAAGTAGCTCGTTTCATTTTAAAACAAAGCCAACTTGATGCAATGTACGTATCGCAAGGCAACGAAATGCTAATTTAAGGGAACCACGACAATTAAAGCGAATGAGGGCAATTCAATGCAATCGTAATCCGCTGCATTGCACTGAAGAGCAAACCAAGGCATGTCAAACCAAACAACAAATCATACACACATAAGCAACACGGCATTGCAGCGACATTGGCTTGCCTTCGGGGTCGCACATTCATGTCACAATTCGCAGACATTTCCCAAGTGGGGTCGCTCTGGCTTCGTCTTCGGTCTGAGTAGAGAATGTGCATTGGGCCGGCACGTGAAACATATTTTGCGAGTTGACTTTGTTGAGTTTGTCGGCTGCATGGGGACACATACGCTTTCATCTGGTCATTCCCAGCGAGGCCCTTCCTGCTGGGTTTGTTCGGAGGGCGACGGTGGTAGGTATTGGAGATGAGATGCAGGGAAGTTCAATTCATCGATCTTGTGTCGTTCAAAGCCGAAGCACCCGCGATCGATGGAGCCATCGGGTTCCAGTGGCCCCTGTGCGCTCTGCTCGCAGGCCAGCCGCGCAACTGCACTGGAGCCCCTCGGCAAAAAAGAGCACGAGCGAGGGAATGATCTGCATCAGTTGTGTGGATCGGCGTCGCGCCCAGGGGAGGGGGAGGAGGAGGGGGAGGAGGAGGAGGAGGAGGAGGAGGAGGAGGGAGGAGGAGGAGGAGGAGGAGGAGGAGGAGGAGGAGGAGGAAGGAGGAGGAGGAGGAGGAGGAGGAGGAGGAGGAGGAGGAGGAGGGGGGAGGGGCGGGAGGAGGAGGAGGAGGAGGGAGGGGAGGGGGAGGGGAGGGGGAGGGGGAGGGGGAGGGGGATGCCGTTGCCCGCAGCAGACGGGGGGAGGCCCGGAAACACATCTGTAATTCAATGATAGGAATGCTAGGGTGTCCATTGTCGTGGCATCCACAACTGTAGCTGTACCTTCACGCGATCGCAGACATGGAGTAAGGGGGCGTGGATTCGCGACGGGCCCCGTTTCCTTGGGAAATCGCGAATCTCCGCCGCCGAGCGAGGCGGCGGCGGCCGCATTTTTGGGAGGGCGCCTCGCCCGATCCATGGATTTGGCGACCGCGCGCCAAATTCACGGAGGATCGCTAATTCATGTTTGCGCGCCCCCGAATGCCGTACTTGTACACTGCCATGCTCCTCCCTCCTTCCTTTCCTCCCCCGTCTCTTTCTGCCCGGGCAGCACAGGCTGCCGGGAGACGCTGCGCCACAAAGTCTTGGGGTCAAGTCGGGCGTGTCCCTCTACAGGAGGAGTGTTCCCAAATAGTTTCCCCCCCCCCCCCCCCCAATTTTTGATTGTTTGTTGACCATCTTTCATTTTTCGCCCAAAATCCGCCTGTAGGGGGACATGCCCGACCTAATCTTAAGGGCTCCCGGAACCTCCCGATGCCTTTCCCTGCCTGGGCCCGGAGGGCCTTGGCCCGGCACGGTGGTGGTGTGCAGGGTGCCCTCTGCAGAGGTTTGGGGAGTGCCCGCGGAAGGACGGCGAGGAGGACCGGCAGGCCTTGGAGCTCCAGTTTGAGCTGGCCTATCGAGAGGCGCGGCGCCCGGTGCCCGAGCACTGAGCGATCTGGCGGTGCACGAGGGGTATTACGCCCAGCTTCGAGTCGGCTCTTCCTGGGACTCTTTGCGGCGTTCTTTTCTTGGAGGCCTCCTCTCGGCGTGCCAGCTCGTATATTGTGTGAGCCCTGGTGGATCGTGTCGCCGCGCGACGTGGCGAGCACACCACCAAGGGCCCCATCTGCAGCGGAGCAGTGTGCGCAGGACTCGGCATCGCAGGGCGGGCTTTGAGAGCGTTCTTGGAGGGTGATCGTGTGGTGTACTTCCCGTGGATGTCACCCAGTGCCTCGGACCCACTGTGTCGCCCCCAATTCGTGTTCAAGGCTGGCTCTGATGTCTCGGCTGCTACGGATGATCGTAAATCCTAGCAGGAGGAGCAGAAACAGTGGAATCACGATTGTGAGGAGGACATGCTTGCTTCTATTTGAAGCTGCAAAGGCTCAGTCAGCCTTCATTCTAGATTCTCCAGGCTCAGGTCATTTCGCCGACCCCCGAAAGTTGGGACTCCTGAAAACTGTCTTGCGAAGCTGCGCAGAGGGTCTGATGTATGGGGCACGAAGTGGAGGATTAGGAGGAGCATCATATCGGGAGGGTAAGGAGAAATATGAGGAGGACGAGAAACAGCGAAACCAGGACGAATGCGGGGAGCAGGATCAGGATAACTGGTGGAGATGCGTATGCGGAAGGGGAGGGATGGATGAGAGAGTTAGGGGGAGAGGGTGAGGCACATGGTTCGCAGGACCTGTGGAGGAAGTAGTCGAGTAGGAGTGGAAATGAGGACAGATGGACGCTTCAGTGAACGCGGTCCAGCTGTAGGGAGGGCGTGAGGCGTGATAATCATTATCCCAGTGCGACCCTACCTAGGAGTTGGAACCCCTAGGAAAGCAGCATTAGTAGTAACAGTAACGCTAAACTAAAACTAAGCTAAAGCTAAGCTAGCTAAGCTAAGCTAAAAGCTAAGCCTAAGCTAAAGCTAAGCTAAAGCTAAGCTAAAGCTAAGCTAAAGCTAAGCTAAAGCTAAGCTAAAGCTAAGCTAAAGCTAAGCTAAAGCTAAGCTAAAGCTAAGCTAAAGCTGAGCAACAGCTAAGCTAAAGCTAAGCTACAGCTAAGCTAAATATAAGCTAAAGCTCAGCTAAAGCTAAGCTAAATCTAAGCTAAGCTAAGCTAAGCTAAGCTACAGCTAAGCTACAGCTAAGCTACAGCTAAGCTCAAACTAAGCTAAGCTAAAGCTAAGCTAAAGCTAAGCTAAACGCTAAGCGAAAAGCTAAGCGAAACGCTAAGCTAAAGCTAAGCTAAGCTAAGCTAAAGCTAAGCTAAAGCTAAGCTAAAGCTAAAGCTAAAGCTAAAGCTAAAGCTAAAGCTAAAGCTAAAGCTAAAGCTAAAGCTCCCAGGGGACTGGGGGGAACCGCTCCCAGGGGACTGGGGGAACCGCCTGGGGCGCTTAGCACTGCCCGGCCCCTTGAAGCTAAGAGAGTGAGAACCCTTCTAGGCAGAGCCTAGGTAGGGAAAAAGGCTTAGGATGGGTTGCCATCATGGGTGAAAGTCTACCAGCGACGATGTTGATGTCCTGACGCATTCTGCCTTGCCCTACGCTATCATGCCCTGTGCCGCACCATCCTGGTTCTTTCCTGACTTGCCTTGTCTCATATCGTCTTGTGCGGCCATGCCTGTCTGTTCTTCCCAACCATCCTGTGGTGTTGGATCCTCGTTTTGAAGAGACAGCGCCCCGGGTCTCCTTCCTTCCTTCCTCTCCTCCACCTCCTCCCTTCTCCCTGCGTTTCCCCACCCAGTACAGCGTTTCGTGGCCCCACAGGGAGCTCCACCGAAGGCCCCAGTGGCACCGCCCGCGTGCGTCACCCCCACCCAATACAGCGTTTCGTGGCCCCATAGGGAGCTTCACCGAAGGTCCCAGTGACACCGCCCGCATGCGTCACCCCCGCCCAGTACAGCGTTTCATGGCCCCACAGGGAGCTCCATCGAAGGCCCCAGTGGCACCGCCCGCATGCGTTCCACCCAGTGCAGCGTTTCGTGGCCCCATAGGGAGCTCCACCGAAGGCCCCAGTGGCGCCGCCCGCGTGCGTCACCCCCACCCAGTACAGCGTTTCGTGGCCCCATAGGGAGCTCCACCGAAGGTCCCAGTGACACCGCCCGCATGCGTCACCCCCCCACCCAGTACAGCGTTTCGTGGCCCATAGGGAGCTCCACCGAAGGCCCCAGTGGCACCGGCCGCATGCGTTCCACCCAGTAGAGCGTTTCGTGGCCCCACAGGGAGCTCCACCGAAGGCCCCAGTGGCACTGCCCGCATGCGTCACCCCCACCCCGTACAGCGTTTCGTGGCCCCATAAAGAGCTCCACGGAAGGCCTCAGTGGCACCGCCCGCATGCGTCCCTCCATCTAGTACAGCTTTCGTTGTCCAATAGGGATCTTCAGCAAAGGCTCCAGTGGCACCGCCCGCATGCGTCACCCCCACCCAGTACAGCGTGTCGTGGCCTCATAAGAAGCCCCACCAGAGGCCTCAGTGGCACCGCCTGCATGCGCCCCCCCCTCCCAGCACAGCGTTTCGTGGCCCCACAGGAAGCTCCACCGAAGGCCCCAGTGGCATCGCCCGAATGCGTCACCCCCACCCAGTACAGCGTTTCGTGGCCCATAGGGGGAGCTCTACCGAAGTCCCCAGTGGCACCGCCCGCGTGCTTCACCCCCACCCACTGCAGCGTTTCGTGGCCCCATACGGGGTTCACCTAGGGCCCCAGTGGCTGCACTCGCATGCGTCACCCCCGCCCAGTACAGCATGTGGTGGCCCCATACGGAACTTCACCGAAGGCTCCAGTGGCGGTGTTCGCATGCGTTTCCCCCGACCAGTGCAGCGTTTCGTGGCCCATAGGGAGCGCCACCGAAGTCCCTAGTGGCGGTGTTCGCTTGCGTTCCCCCCGCTCAGCACAGCGCTTCATGGCCCCTTAGGGGAAGCTCCTCCGAAGGCCCCAGTGACTGTACTCGCATGCGTTTCCGCCACCCAGCACAGCGTTTCGTGGCCCCATAGGAAGCTCCACCGAAGGCCCCAGTGGCGGCCCCACCCTATTGCGGCGCACCCCTAGTGCGGTCCCGTAGTGCGTTCCGTCCCAGTGACAGCGCCCACGTGGCGGCCCCGCCCGCGAGTCCCCACCAGCCCGTTCAGAAGCCCTGCCCATTCGAGCTGACAGGAAAAGGGACGAAGAGACACATATAGTGAAACAGAGCGTGCCAGGAGAGGAGAGGAAGGAGGGTGTGCCTTAGAGGCTACTTTGAGCATCGGAGGCTTCTTGGAGCTACGTGGCTGTATTGGGGGACATTGGGGTCCTCTTGGAGCTCTTTTAGGGCATCTTTGGGCCCTCGTGGGGCTCTTTGGGGGGTCTTCTGGTCCTCTTGGGGCTCTTTCGGGGCGCCTTGGGGCCCTCATGGGGCCCTCTTGGTCTTGAGAGCTATGGGCGCCTCCTGAGGCCATCTTGGAGACCGTCGATCAAAGGAGGGGGGTCCTAGATTTCCCTCCCCGCTCTGGGCCATCGCAATAGCCTCTTGGGGCACTCTTGGGGCCATCTTGGGGCGATCTTGGGCGCTCTTGGGACAGTCTTGCCGGCCTCTTGGGCCCTTCCTGGAGGTCTCTTGGGCCATATTAGGGCTATCTTGATGCCTCAAAGCGCATCTGAAGCGAAAAGGCGAGAAGGCACACATCAGTGATCTTTCTTGGGTTTTGGAAGGATTTTGGCTTATCGGGGAGGTCCTGAGGGGTGTCTAACAGCACCTGGAACCGTCTTGTGGCCCTCTTGGGGCTTCTTGGAGGCATGCTGTCAGCTATCTTGAGCCATGTTGGGCTATCTTTGAGCGTTCTTGGATGCCATCTTGGGCTCTCTGAAGCCCTCTTGGAGCCATCTCAGGCTACCTTGGACGCCCTGACCGCTCGTGACCTCCCCCGTCCAGGTCCAGGGTAGGAGGGGGTAGGGGGAGGGGTCAAGTTACCCCCTCCCCGCCCGCAAGCCGTCTCGCTCACTCCCACCCGCCCTCCCAACACATACGTAGCACCCGAGTCTGGCCCGAGCCTTAGCTTATTCAGCAGTTGTCTTGGGATGGGCAGCCACTGGGGGCCAATCCGCCGCCGCCCCCGCCACCTCCGCCGCCGCCGCCGCCGCCGCCGCTCCGCCGCCGCCGCCGCTACCGCCGCCGCCTGTCGCTGCCGCCGCCGCCGCCGCCGCCGCCTCAGCCGCCGCCGCCGCACCGCCCTCAGCCGCCGCCACCGCCGCCGCCGCCGCCGCCGCCCCCCGCTGCCAAACCGCCGCCGCCGCCGCAGCCGCTGCCGCTGCCGCCACCGCCGCCGCCGCCGCCGCCGCCGCAGCCGCCGCAGCCGCCGCCACCGCCGCCGCAGCCGCCGCAGCCGCCGCCGCCGCCAAGTGAACTCTGTATTGTTTTTTACAGGGATGGTGGGAGGGGGCCGCATCGGATTGGCTGCGCATGTTCCGAATTTGGAGGCAAAGTGTGTTTTGTATTGTTTTTTACAAGGGATGGTGGGGGGGGGGTCGGCATGGACCCTGGTTGGCCCCCAGTCGCCTGGGGGAGGGGGTGCTTATTAATAGGGAACAGTGATAAACCTCTCACCGAAGGGGAGAAAGAGTTTTCGACGAGGAAAGAAGGACATCGTTGGACCACCTCCGCCTAGAGAGCTGGTGGGATTCTCTTACCGCTCTTCCTATCCTTTTTACCACGGCAGTGCTTGCCCTTCTGTGGTGAAGTGTCGAACATTTTGCCCTGGGAATCTTGCTCCAATCGCGTGCAAGTATGTGAGGCGTGTAGGGCGCCCTAGAAGCGAATGGACTGGGCAAGGGCAAAAGCACGCTGCTGAGGTACGGGCAAGCGTTCAGGATTGCAATGCTTGGGTGAGAGGCGTTGCCAAGTATTGTGCATGCTAGATCTGTCCACGCGCTTTTCAGCGTACGACTCGCGAGCGAGCGAGCGAGCAGTGCTTGCACTTAGGGGTTCTTATTTGTGCGGCCGGGTTTCCCGAGGACTTGCCACGCTCCCGCTTGTTGCCTCTCCGCTGCCGGCCGTTGCCGCACGTGGGGGTGTCCTGTGGATTCACCACGTCTTGGCCCGTTGCCGCCCGTTGCCGGCCGCTGCCTGGGGGGTTTCTCCGAAGGGCTTCGGCGACCCGTTCTCCTTCTCCTCCTCCTCCTCCTCCTCCTCCTCCTCCTCCTCCTCCCTTCTTCCTCCTCCTCCCTCCTCCTCCTCTTCCTCCTCCTCCTCCTCCTCCTCCCTCCTCCGTCTCCTCCTCCCCCTCCCCCTCCTCCTCCTCCTCCTCCTCCTCCTCCTCCTCCTCCTCCTCCTCCTCCTCTCCTCCTCCTCCACTTCCTCCTCCTCCTCGTCCTCGGGTCGCCTACGGCCCCGGGGGAAACCGTGCACCGCGGCCTCCTGTGAGGGTGTCCTGGGGATTCGTGACGTTCTGACCCGTTGCCGGCCGTCGCCGCCTTTGGTGGCGTCCCGAGGATTCGTCACGTTCCGGCAAGTCGCCGCCCGTTGGTGCCCTTTGCCGCCTCCTGCAGGGGTGCCCAGATGATTCGCCACGCTCTGGCCCGTTGCCGGCCGCTGCCGCCTCGGGGGGTGTCCCGACGATTCGCCATGTCCCGGCCCGTTGTCGCCCGTTGCCGGCCGTTGCCGCCTGTGGGGGCGTCCCGAGGATGCGTACTTGCTCTTCGAACAACGACCGCAGAGACGCTTGTGCATCACATAGCTGCATATCCACAGTGCCATGACTTGCTGTTCGGGGTTGGCGCTGACAGACAGGCTGGTTCTCCGTCTATGTGCTTGGTCTCTCTCTCTCTCTCTCTCTGTCTCTCCATCTCTCTCCCAGTCGGTCTCTCAGCCTCCCATTCGCATGTCCTCTCATTCTCTCTCGCCCTCTTGCCGAATTTGTTCCCTCTCTTTGTCTCGATCTCCTGTCCTGCCTGCCTCACGCGGGGCCTGCTCTTGGCAGCGAGGTCGAGAAGAAGGACAAAGAGAGGGAGCTTAAGAGCATCCCCGCCTGCCGGCCGGGGTCACCGCTCAGCTCGTGCGACGGACGGACCCCGAAGTTCTTGCCGCCATGACGAAACGATTCGTGTCATCGTCTAAGTGATTGCCGTCCCAGCTGGTGTGATGCCGCCGCGGAGGAGGAAACAGGTGCCATCGCCAAGTCACGCTCGGGATCTGCCGGCGAGCACCTTTGGCACTCGGGGTGCCGCGTGCTCCCAGGCCGGCGCAGAATGCCGCTCCAGCCGGCCTCGCGCCGCGTCGTGCGCCCGCGCCCCGCGCGCCCGCGGGAGCACGTTGGCGGAGGGTGCTCCTCGGGCCGCGCTCGTCGGCCCGGGCAGCGCGTCCGCTCGGCGGGGCGCGGCGAGGCGCGAGGGCGTGGTGGTCGGGGGCGCTCGGGGCCGGTCGAGTTGGCCCACGGGGCGGGCGTCGGTTCCGGGCTCGGGGCGCGGAGCGGGGCCCTGGGGGGGAGAGTGGATCAGGAGGGAAAGAAACACGCAGAGACAACTAATCGTCGACTCCCAGGAACAGATGGGAAAATATGGGCAGTGTGGGGGAAGACGAAGACCCAGAAAGTATGGGAATCTGTGGGGAATCCTGTCACGTGTGTCTATCTATTTTATTTCTGTGTCCGAGGGCCCCTTCAGTAGAGAGGAGATGCGTCCAGGCGCGTGCTGGATCCACAGGAACGCAGCGCTGCTGATAGTTATGCAGACATGGATCAAGGAGTGGCGCGCTCCGTCGCGAAGTGAAGCATCGTTGACGCCACATTTCCAGGCGTGCCCGAACGTGCGTTCTGTCCTTTCAGGTTTCGTCTCTCCAATTAGTTGACCTTCCAATCTTCTCTCGACCATCCGCTCTGCGCCACAAGTCGGAAACTAGAGCATATACATTACCAATGGCGGGCGTTTTTTCAATCCCAGGACTTTGTGAGGGTCGGGGACGACGTCGGGGTAGTGTGGTGTGCATTTTTCCCAACCATGCTGTGGTGTTGGGTCCTCGTTTTGAAGAGACAGCGCCCCGCGTTCCTCCTTCCTTCCTCCTCCTCTCATTCTTCTCCCCCTCCTCCTCCTCCTCCTCCTCCTCCTCCTCCTCCTCCTCCTCCTCCTCCTCCCTCCTCCCCTCCCTGCCTCTGCTCTCCGCATGCCTATCGGCACACCCTTCACACGCTTCGTGGCCCCATGGGGAGCTCCACCTACGGCCCTAATGGGAAAGTTCGCATGGCACCGCCGCCCCATTTCGGCACACCCCTCACACGTTTCGTGGTCACATAAGGTGCCACACCTAAGGCCCCAGTGGGAAAGTTCGCATGGTACCGCGCCGCCCCATTTCGGTACACCTCTCATACGTTTCGTGGTCCCAAAGGGAACCCCACCTAAAGCCCCAGTGGGAAAGTTCGCATGGCAGCGCCGCCCCATTTCGGCACACATCTCGCACGTTTGGCGGCCCCCTAGGGAGCTCCGCCGAAGGCCCCAGTGGGAAAGTTTGCATTGCACCGCCGCCACATTTCGGCACACCGCTCACACGTTTCGTGGCCCCATAGGGAGCTCCACCGAAGGCCCCAGTGGGAAAGTTCGCATGGCAACGCCGCCCGATTTCGGCACTCCCCTCACACGTTTCGCGGCCCCACAGGGAGCTCCACCGAAGGTTCCAGTGGCACAGTTCACATGGCCCGCCCAATTTCGGCACGCCCCTCACACGTTTCGTGGTCCCATAGGGAGCTTCACCGAAAGCCCCAGTTGGAAAGTTCGCATAGCACCGCCTCCACATTTCGGCACACCCCTCACACGTTTCGTGGCCCCATAGGGAGCTACACCGAAGGCCCCAGTGGGAAAGCTCGCATGGCACCGCCGCCCCATTTCGGCACACCCCTCACACGCTTCGTGGCCCCGTAGGGAGCTCCACCGAAGGCCCTAGTGGGAAAGTTCGCATGGCACCGCCGTCCCATTCTGGCACTCCCCTCACACGTTTCGTGGCCCCATAGGGAGCTCCGCCGAAGGTCACTGTGGGCAAGTTCGCATGGCACCGCCGCCCCATTTCGGCACACCCCTCACACGTTTCTTGGTCCCGTGGGACCGCCGCCCCATTTCGGCACACTCCTTACACGTTTCGTGGCCCTATCAGGAGCTACACCAAAGGCCCCAGCGGGAAAGTTCGCATGGCACCGCCGCCTCATTTCGGCACACATCTCGCACGTTTGGTGGCCCCCTAGGGAGCTCCACGGAAGGCCACAATGGCGACGTTCGCAGGCGTCCTCCCGACTCATGTCGACACACCCTTCACACGTTTCGTGGCAGATTGCTATGCCGCGTGCGCTACTCGGAGTTTGCGCGCACCGCTCCTTCGATTCATCTCCCTCGCGGCACTCGCAGCTGCATATGGTTGGGTCCTTCGTAAGGCTAATTACCCCGCGTTCCCAGGGAAACAGTGAAGAATTCTGCCCTATACTTCCTTATGTGCGTATGTATGAGCTTGAACTCTTGTGTGCATTGTTTCACGCGTGTGTACATGCTTGTTCCGTATAGGCACCCTCTTTGGCTCAGGTTGATTTGTGCAAGTCAAAATAGTGCCTCTCTCTCTCCGTCCTGTTGGCCATCATTCGATATGTTTCGCGCGTCAGTGGTAGCAGGGGCGCGAGCGTTCTCAGCAGAACGCGTTTCGGCATCCACGGCAATGTCAGGGGAATCGAATGGACCGGAGGGCGGTCAAGAGAGATGGGACAAACTAGGCACGGGATCTGCGTCTCATGAAGATGCTGAAAGTGCAACAGGCAACGGAGGGATTCAGATCCCGTCGGTATTTACGACAGAACAGAAGCAGGAGCTAGACAGCATGTTCCAGAAACAGCTGGTGGAGATCCAGCGGCTACTGTCTAGCGCGGGCGCGAGCCGAGATCAAGAGGGTGCTGACCGGCACGCTCGCGACCGCCACACGGGAGATGACTGGCATGACAAGCCAAGCTCAGATCCATGGATACACGGCCGGTCAGGGAGCTCAGCGGACGACCGCTGGAATGGCAAGGACGACGGATGGCACAAGGAGTACTGGAGCAGCTGGACTACCTCCGAGTGGCAGGGACAAGACTGGTCGAGGAACAAGTGGGAGAAACCAGACTTCTCAGGCCCAGACGAGTGGCTCGGATGGGCAGACTACCGAGCGTGGCGGAGACGTATCACCAGATGGCTGCAGCAGACTGATGTGCCACCGAAGAAACAGGCAGACAAGATTCTCAAGGTGTTGGATCGAGATCTCCAAAGGAAATTCGAGGACATCACCGATGAAGACCTGACATCACCGAATGGAGCTATGATGATAGTGAAGAGACTGGACATTCTCTGTGGAGTGCGGGTAGACGACGAGAAGCGTCTGGCCGCCAGAGAGTGTCTACGCGGATACCGCAGGAAGCACGGCGAGACGCTCTCGGTCTACACAGCGAGAACGGACCATAATTTCGATCGACTCAGGACACACGGCCTGTCCCTGGATGATTCCTGTAAGAAGATATTTGTGGAAGAAGGTATCATTCTCGAGGAGTCCGGTATGCAAATGCTCAAGGTGCTCTCTCAGGGCTCGAGCTCATGCGATGCGGTGATTCAGGCAGCACGAGAGATGGACATGTCGAAGACAGAGCACCTAGGGCCCAAGGCTGGGAAGACGACGAACGTGACGTACCACACGGACTACGACAGCAAGTCGTCGGATGAGCTTCTCGACTACAGCGATGTCTCCTTGATGGACTCCAGACAAGAAGATTTGATATTGGCTTCCCTGGACGAGGGCGACGTCGACGAGATCGATGTCCCCGAGGTTTTGGCTAGCATTCAGACGGAGCGCAGGACAACGTGGAAGGATAATCGTGTTCTACCCGACTCCTGGCGGTGCCCCGAGTTCTCCTTCTTCGGCGTCTGCCGGAGAGCGCGGTCGTCGCAGTCAGAAAGGAGAACTGAGGCCGCGCAAGCGGCGCCTGTCGGTGGAGAGATTGATGAAGGTTACTCAGTGGCACACGCGCAAGAAGCCGGGCCACTGGAGCCGAGAGTGTCCCGAGCGGGACAAGAGCACGGACAAGATGACGGGGTTCGTGCTGGTCAACGCGGCCCCCGTGAACTTCGACGCCGCGGTGGACTCTGCGACCGCGTCAGCTCGAGAGAACGCGCGCGAGCTGGTGAAGAAGGCCTTCGACACGCTGAACCGGGCCCGCTGCGAGGCGATGACGATGCTTGCTACCGCGCCGGGATAGATGATCGTGGACACGGCAGCGGGGCAGGCGTTGATCGGAAGGCCCTCACTTCGGAGACGCGAGGACAGGCTGGCACAGCTGGGACTGAAAGTACTACGAGTTCCGAGTAAAAGCCAACAGGCGAAGGGTGTCGGTGGCAAGACCCAGGTGGCGACCGGGCTGCCCACCCCGACAGGCATCGGCGGCAAGTGAGGCATCATGGAGATGGGCGAGGTGGAGCAGGACAACCCGCCGATAGGGATGCAGGAGCAGCTCGGCGCCGTGATCGACCTGCCGAGTGAGTGCGTTTCTTTTCAGAAGCGGGGGTCTCTTGCCCCATGAACCGCCTCCCCGGAGGCCACCGCGCCATCCAGATGGATGAATTCGGGGATATTTCTTTCTTTTGAAGTGCCGCGCGACGTGCAGCGGCGCTATGGGCTGCGGGCCGAGGACTTCCGCCTCGGAGAGACTTCGAAGTATGTTGCTCTTGCTTCGCTTCATTCCCCGTCTCCCCCTTTTTTCTCCGAGGGTAGACTTTCGTGCGGGTCGGGGGGCGGGTCGAGGCTGCCCGGTTGCAAGTCCTGTCGGGGTGCCAGGGTCTGGGGGCCCAGTGCGCGCCGCCCCGGAGATCTCGAGGGCCGTCGTCACACAGGTGTCTTCATCGCGAGCAAGGAGCTAGCAACTACGGACGGACTTTCGAAGATTTCAGGTGAGCACCTCTTTTGCCCTCCCTCTTTGCCTCCCCCCACCCTCTTCAGTGCTTCAGAAGGTTTTAGGACTCAGCGCG